TCAATTCCTCCAACGACTGGGGGAGTCCCTTCTCTTCTCCCCTCACCCCTGTCACGCGCTCCCTTTATCTAAATCCCCAGCTATGAAAGGGCACGTTGACAGCTGGGGGAGTTATCTGGTGGGGGCACCTTTTCCTTGGGGCACCGTTGAGATAAGGCGTCTTATCAGCCCCCAAGTCAGGGACAGTGCCAAGGCATTCTGTCATTGAGGTTATTGCATTCTCTCCTCCCCCTGCCTGCCAGCACCACCCCCCCTCCACTGCCGTGCGACCCCCCCCAGCTTCTTTATATTATTACAGTTACAAAAGACCTGCTCCTGGCCTGGGGAGTAAGAAGCTCTAGTGGGGGGCTCACAAAGTGGGGGTGAGGGCTTTCTGCAGATGGGACAATGCCGGCTTGGTGGGGGGAGTGGGGGCCAGGACAGGGTCCCCGGGAAGCTGTGTACATTTGTGATACTGGCTGTGTGGTCTTGTGCAGGGTGCTTGGCTTTTCTGGGCCATGGTAACTAACTGCTCCCGGCAGTAACCAGTGTGTGGATGCAGCCAACTGGTCATTCATTCAACGCCTGTTGATTCAGCCACCACTCCCTGCCCGCCCCTAGGGGGAGAGAGAAAGATGGGTCATGGTTGTGGTGGTGTGTGGGGAGACGAATGTGAAAATTGGCTGCGATGTGGGCCCCTTGTGGTGGGCCCAGATTTTGGGGAGGTAGGGGAGATTGTTTGCAAAGGTTCCCAGGTTTAACAGGACGGGTCAGGGTGGCAGGTGGCCTGGAGAGGGTGGGGCAGGAGCCAGAGAAGGGGTGGGGTGGTGGCCCTCTGTTCTGACGCCAGAGCGTTGGAATGGCCAAGGAGGGGGGCCTGACTTTGTCCTGTTTGTCGGCAGCAGGGATGACGACAAAGTGGTCATCCACATCTCCTTGTCACTTGGCCTGCCCAGCCCTCTGCCACCCTAGACCCTCCACCTGCCCAGCAGGGAACAGGGAGATGGGCCACGAAGTTGGGGGCCGGACAGCACCAGGAGATTCACTGTCTCTGGGTAAAGGTAGTTCTCAGGCTGCTGGGCCTCCCCGGGAAGGGAGGAGGAGGGACTAGCCTAGCAGCTGCCCTGGAGAACCTTGGTGTAGAAGCTGAGAAGTTGTCAGGGGCCCCTCGTGGTGCCCACCGTCAGAGCACTGACAGCCGGAGCCCTGCCTAGGCCCCTCCTCCCCTAACACTGCAGCCCCCAGCCTGCCCTCATGGGCTGCAGCTGCACAGGCTGGATGGGAGGCCTGGCCCCGAGGGTGTTTGGTGATCCTGGGTGGGGCTGAGCGTGGCCCCAACCTGGAATCGATAAGCATAGGGGTTCTGGAGCTACCACCTCAAGGCCAGAGAGGGGGCGTCCGTAGCCCAAGGTCCCGTCGTCACAGTAGGGCTGGGAGAGTCCTGCTTCTGGCCCAGGTGTCTCTTCCCCTCCCAGGTGTGGGCCTGGGCCTTCAGGCCTTGGTTTCCCCACCTGCTGGGGCTTCCCCTCTGTGCCCCTACTCCGAGTCCCCGCAGCGTTGGGGAGGGTCTTGCTTCAGACCCCTTTACCTCTCAGGTATGCACAGTGCATCGGAGACTGTGGGGGGGGGGGGCTGCCTGCGTGAGATGGCGTGCCAGGGTGGGCGCAGGCATGAGCCTCCCAGTGCCCAGAGGCTGGCACGCGGGTGTGTATGAGCGTCCAGTGTCCCCGAGTCCCCCAGGTGGGCAAAACAAGTGTGCAGTCTGGCCAAGAAAGGGCAGCAGTGGCTGGCCAGCCCAGGCCTGCTCCCCAGGCCCCAAGTCACCGGGCCACCTCCCTGCAGTCAAGGGCTTCTCACGCCTGCAGTAAGCCCCACTCCATTCCCTTTTTAAGCGGTATACTTTCTGCCTGATTGTAACGGCATATTTTTAAATTACCAGGCCTCAAAGCCGGGAAAGTGGATACTACAGCTTTTTTTTTTTTTTTTGCAACGCTGCCTCCGTTCAGGCTTGTGACTGGGGAAGGGGGGCCGAATCACACGCCTCCCCCCTCCACCGTTCCCTGCCCCCCCACCTCCCCCCCACCCCACCCCCCACCCCCGTCTCTCCCTCTCTCTGAGACAGTAATAAGAGAAAATTGGTTTTGAAACTGAATAAAAGTCCCTTTCAGAGGAAATCATTTCTTTCAGGGCACCTTTGCTGCAAGTAAAATAGAGTATAATGAAAGGTGGTTGCGTGGTTGTCTTTCATTTACCGGGAGGCCAGGACAGACGGGAGGCTGCCACCAGCTCGGGAAATGCAAGATTGGAATAATTGCGCCGTAACAAGGAGCTTGTTGTGAAATTAGTATCTTAAGAAAGTGGTGAAAAAAAGGCTTTTCCTCATGAATACTTCATTCTTAGAAGAAAGCGGCAGAATTTGGGGCTCCAGACACCTGTTTAGTATTAAATGACTACCCTTTCTTCGGCTCAAACACCCACCCCTACCCCCACCCTTCTTTCTTCTCTTTAAAAAAGAAAAAGGAAAGAGCCGCGTGTGGACCGAGCTGACCTAGCTGAGCAGCGCAGGACGTGGGTGGGGAGGGGGCGGGTGGGTGGGCGTCAGGGGCGTCCAGAGCAGAAATGGTGCCTGGGCCAGCCTTCCCTTTACAAGGGAGTGGGGGGACTGACAGGGAAGCTCAGGGCCTCTCAGCCCGGCCTCCCAGATCCTGCTTGCCCTGACAGGAGCTTTCTAGAATGTTCCTTGGCCCCTCTCTGGTCCTCAGCAGAAGGGGGTGCTCTGTGGAGCTGGAGGGAGCACTTCCAGGTGACTGTAGGGGTTCTGAGTGAGGGCAGCAGAGCGGTGGACGTGCTGGAGCCGAGTCTGAGCTGCCACCCCAGAGGCAGCCCAGCCTGGCCGGGAAGCGGCCTCGGTGGCACCTCCTTTGCTGCTTGGGTGTGGAGCTCAGACAGGCAGCCATGCAGGCCCCAGGGCATCCCAGTGCAACCTTGGGAGAACGTTGGAGTCGTGCCCAAGCTGGCTGAGGTCCAGGTTAGGATCAGCTGGGGTCCGGGCTAGAGTGCCCGTATCCTCCCAGGAAACCCCATCCTGGATACGTCCCACTCAGAGGTGCTGGGTGGACACCCCAGACGGAGGACCAGCCAGATGGATGGCTCGATCAACCGAGGTGCCCGCTGGCACGTCCTGGGTCCCCTGGCACACAGACTCTGAAGATGACCAGCTGTGGTCTTCACCCTTCACCTGCTTGCACGTGGTAGACCTGGGTGTCTGCCACCAGCTGGCGGGTGAACAGACACCTGGCCAGGCCAGGGCATCACAGAGGTAGACCCTGGAGGAAGTGACGGGTATGCCAGGCGGGGCCTAGGGCCTGCTTGGCTGGTCAGCTCTGGTGGAAGGCCACCACGCCGCTGGAGAGCCCTGGACTCATCCTGTCTTGAAGCCTGCAGGAGCCTCCGCTTCTCGTTATTGGGATCGGAGTGGTCGTTGACAGGGCAAATTGGTTTTCCATTCCACCGTTCACACACATGGATCAAGCTTCCTGGCTCTGATCGCCTTTCCCACAAGGTGACAACACTCTTCCCACTTCGTCCCTCTGTTTGCAGGCTCCATTCTCCCCACGTTCTGAGCCAAGTCCCCGGACAGACACTGCCCTCTGGGTCCCCTAGGACCGATTGGTCTAGGGACTAGTGCACACCCCTCTGGGGTTGACTGGCCGCCTTAGAGGGCGTCGTTGCTTGGCGGAAAGTGGAACCACAGGGTGAGTTCAGTTCCAGGCTTGAGGGGTAAAGGGCTGTTTTGGGGGTTCCTCCAGTCCCCAGAAGACCATTAAGCCTGGTCTTCTTTGCTTCACTTCCCTGCCTCTCTATTCAGGATCTGTTCCTGCGGCCCACTTTGGAGCTGTTAGCAGAGTTTTGGAGCGCTATCTAGTTCCCCTGGTCTCGGGGCCCTGGAGACTGGGGTTTGTGAGCTCATTCCTCCTTTGGACTAGTGAATTCCCCATGTCGTCTTCACTCCAGTGGGCAGAAACCCAATAGGTTCACTTTAGATGGCGGCTCACCAGCTTTTTCTTCTGTAACTTTTTTATGTGAATTAGGTGAAGGTGTGCAGAGCTGATTGCCGGTTTTGCACTCAATAATTCATACACATTTTGTCTCGTCTCATCCGGTGCCGTCCCTTCCTGGAACATGACTTATCCCACTTCCTCCCTGGGCTTCCTGGGCCCATTCCCCCTCTGTGCTGATTGTCCCAGGGCAGTGGCTCTCAACCTTCCTACCGTCTCGACCCTTTCATACAGTTAGTTCCTCAGGTCGTGGTGACCCCCCAACTGTAACATTATTTTTGTTTCTACTTCATCACTATAATTTTGCTACTGTGACGAATCGGGTGACCCCTGTGAAAGGGTCCTTCGACCCACAGGTGGAGAACCACCGTCCTAGGGTCAACGTGGCCCCTTTGCATAGCTCACCAGAGTTAACGGTTCTCCTTGCAGACCCGCCTGCTGTTTGCCTGTGAACGGCAAGGGTTCACCAGTCACTGTTCCAACCAGCAAGGCTGGTCTCTTTTATGATGACTACGGTTCCTGGGTTGTAGGGCAGTGATTACTGCTAACTGCAAGGTCAGCGGTTCAAAACCCCTCGCTACTCTATGGGAGAAAGACAAGGCTTTCTACTCCCACAAAGGTGCAGCCCTTCTCTGCCCTGGAGGGTCGCTCTGAGTGGGCATGGGCTCGATGGCCATGGGTGGCACTAGTGCCAGCTTCCTGAGGACTTGCCCTCCTGCTTGTACATGGGCTCCCGTGTCTACGCCTCCCCCCCCACCCCCACCGTGTGGAGGGTTTTCTGCTCTGTGGGAATTTTCATGGACCGTTGGGGGGAGAAGATAATTTCCTCAGCCGTCGGACGGGGGAGAAGGGAAAGGGGTCTGCTTTGAACGGCTCTCGTGCCCTTCCGGGAAGGGCAGGTGGAGGGGGAGGCAGGTAAAGAGCAGCCCTGTGTGACACGTGCCTGTTCTCCTCCTGCTATAGGGACCCAGCCGCCGAGCACGCCCCTCCCTCGCTCAGCCATGCTGGCCTGTCTACAGAGGACCCAGAACCCGGCCAGCCAGCACCTGGCCTGCCCGAGCAAGAGCCTGGAGCTGCGAAAGTGTGAGTAGACCACCCCCTCCCGGTCCCCAACCTCCCTGCCTGCTGCCCCGTCCTTTGTCCACTCTGGGTCCGTGGGGGGCTATTGTCTGTGCCCTGGACACGCTCCCACCAGCCTTTCTGCCCACCACCACCCTCTCTTGACTGCTGGTTCTTTGGGGTTCCTTGACCTCTGCCCAGCTCCGCTGCCCTCTGGAGTCCCTCCCTTACGCCAGCACGCCCACTTCGGCCGACGTCCACACTGGGCCTTAGGGTAACCCAGTTCAGACTGGACTTCCCCCTCTGTGCCGCTGGCTCGTTTGCTCGTGTTTGCAGAAGGGAGAATAAGTTGCAAACAGAAATAGCCCTGGAGGGGTTGGCAGGCCCAGGTCAGGGCCTGGTCCACCGTGCGTACTCGGCCGTCTCCTTCCCCGCTCTGGGCCTTGCTGCTTTAATGCATCAAATTGGGGGCTGACCTTAGTGACCTCTGAGGGTCTGCCCTTGATCAGGGTCGAGGGCTTGGGGTCCCTGTCTTCGGCGGTCATCTTTAGTCCCTGGAGTAGTGACTGACCACGGGTGGGTGTGCATCAGTCTGCTCCTGTCTGGCCCTTATTTCTCTAGGACTTAGACCAAGTATAGAGGGACCGGTGGGTCCCAGGACAGTGGTGGCTGCCAACTGCAAGGTCAGCAGTTCAAACCACCAGCCACTCCATGGGACAAAGGTGATGTTTTCTGTCCTCTTGAAGAGTTAGTCTCAGAAACTCACCGGGGCACTTCAAGCCCATCCTTTGCATAAAACTTGGGATTTCTAGTCTCTCGGGAAAATCAGAGGAGCTGGGAACCCAGCCCCTTGCTCCTGTGCTCCTGTGCTCGGTGGGACAGGCCACGAGTCAGCTGCCCTTTAGCACAGAGCTTTGGAGGTAGCTGTGCTTCTTGGATCCTTGTGTCTGATTAGACTTAAGAGAATGCAATCCTGTGGGCCAGTGTTCAGAAGGAACAAAGGGTAGACGACAGACAGTCGCACATCCCAGTGGCAGCCACTGTTCCCAGCCTCCTGGGAGCCCTTCCCGGAGACGTGTGTGCACGTCCAGCACACGTGAGTGCGGTGTGCACATACGCTCTCCGGGCTCGGGTGCACCCTGCATGCCAGCCTCTGGAGAAGGGCTCGTGCTCAGCCTTCTTTAAAGGCACGTGGCTTTCTCCAGCGGGGACGAGCCACCGTTTACGCCCCCCTCTGCCCCAGGTCTCTGCATGTGTGGCGTTGAGAGACATGGTCGTTCCAGTGGTAACTTCGGAGACGGCACCTAGTGGAGGCTCTATCTCCTCACTGCCCAGTGGAAACAGTTTCACAGTGTCGTCTTGTTGCTTTTTATTGTGCGTTAGGGGGAGGCTGACAAAGCCATCATAGTTGTTTGCATGTATCATTTGCACCACCGTGGAGCCCCCTGCTCCCCATTTCCCATTTTCCCTCCCTCCCGACCTTCAGTGATCAATGTAGGAGTGAGTTCAGTTGTAGATCTTAAAGACCACGAGTCTTGGGGTCCCGCCAGTCTTGGACCAAGTACACGTGGTTGAGTTTTGTTCGACACTTTTTTCTCCCACTCTGTCGAGGACCTGGTTTTTAAGAAAGATGATTGTACTGGGGGCTCTTACAATTCTTACTGTGATCCACACGTCAGTTGTATCAGGGTCATTTGTACACACGTTGCCCTGGTTCTTTTCTAGACATTTTCCATTGGGCCCTTGGCATCAGCTCCTCTTTTTCCCCCTCCCCTCCCTCACCCTGTGGCCCCTTGATAGATTATAAATTATTATTTTCATATCTCACACCGAACACTGTCTCCCTTCCCCCATGGTTTCTGTTGTTTTCCCCCCGGAGGGGGTGTGTATGTGTGTGGTTATATAGATTCCCCCTTCCTCCCCTCTCTAGAACCTTCTAATGCCATCCTCCTCAGCACCGTTGGTGGTGGTAGCTGGGCACCATCTAATTCCTTTGGTCTCAGGGTTGTGGGGACCGTCCCCACGGCCCCATCAAGAAATCCTATTGTGGTAAACATGCACATAACGAAAGTGCCAACTTCCCATTGCTGATAAACACGAGCTCAGTGTCCCTTGAGCCACAAGTTCTCCCCCCCCCCCCCCCACACACACACACACACGCACCTGCTGCTGCTGAATTTAGGTCTTTATGCGTGTGCCTTTTCTGGATATGTCCCGTGTGTGGAGTCATTCAACATTTGTGGCTGACTTATTTTCCGCAGGGCTCACCCATGTTGTGGAATGTCTTAGGACTAAGCGATAGCCCATTTGCCCTGGCCATATGTGCCGGTGGACACATGGGGTCGTTTCCTCCTTTTGGCTGTTGGGAATGGTTCTGCACTGGATAACAGGGGGCAAGTATCTGTGTGCTTCCCTGCTTTCCAACCTGTCGTGTGGAGACCCAGGAATCCTGAGAACTCTGCTGTCAGTGATAGGGTAATACACCCCGACATCGACTCAGCACTGCTGTCGAGCCAGCTCACGGTGACCAGACAGGACAGGGTAGCTCTGCCCCTGGTGAGTTTCCAAGACCGTAACCCTTTTTGTCAGCAGGAAGCCCCACCTTTCTCCTGAGGCACAACTGGTGGTTTTGAACTGCTGGCTATGCAGTTCGCAGCCCACTGCTTAGCCACTATGCCACCAGGGCTCCTCCACGTGCCTCCACTGGCCACGTAATAGCACTGTCATGCAGGAGTCGTACCGGCCACTAATGCCAACGAGACGGAAACTGGTGATTTTTTATCAACTTCTGCAGGCTGAACTTGTTCAAACATGCAATCGAGATATATTGGTAATCACTGGTGACCAGACTGTGAGCGTTGGAACCAAAGGTGATGGAAAGTACGTGCAGGGTCAGATGAGGTCACTGTTTTTAAAGTAAGTCTAATGGGGGTGAGAGGGAGCCATTTGATTTTCCTTTAGACCTATCGATCCAGCACCTGTGTCTTTTTTTGTTTTTTTTGATCGGACTGTTGGTTTTGCCTGGCTGGTTGTTCAGAGCTGGGCTTTTGTAACGGCCTTAGACCTCTGTCTGTGGCATGGACTACATTTCTCTGCGCCTGGGTGTCATTTGTCTTTGAATCTGCCGTGTGGGATTTTTTTTTTTTTTTTTTGCCAAGAGATTTGCCTATGTTTCCTCTTACGGCTTTTGGGTCATACTTAGAAAATCCTTCTTGCTCAGACTAATTTTTATTTAATGTAAAATTCTATGGTTATTTTGTAACTTAGATGATATAAAGTATAAGGCGTGATTCTGAGAGTTTTCAAAGACCAGTACCATACTGTTTTAATTCGCGTAACATTGTAATACATTTTAATATTGGGTGGTGCTACTTGGTCCTAATCACTACCCCCACCCCCCTGCTCCTCAGAATTTTCTTGACTGAGGCATACTTTTCTGTCTAAGCTATAGAATCTGCTTAGCTAGGTAAGAACAAAATCCTGCTTGTGTTATTCCTGGGATTTGCAGCGAACGTACATGTAAGGAAGGGATTGACATTTTGTGATGTCTTGAAGGAGCCCTGGTGACACAGTAGGGCAGCAGTTCAGACCCACCAACCGCTGTGCAGGGAAAGACATGGCAGTCATCATCCTGAAAGATGACAGCCCGAGACCCCCGATAGGGCCATGCTCCCCTGTCCCACGGGGTTGCAGCGTCAGAACTGACGCAGCAGCAACCCCACGGGCAGTAGTTACATTAGGAAGTTACCTCTTGGGTGGCATGACCAAGACTGGCTAGCAGAGCCATACAAATATTCCACTCGACTGACTATGTCAGAAGCAATGAAAGATAGAGTGGCAATCAGACATTCTTGGTTGGTGCCTAACTTTAAAGAAGTCTCTCTTCCTATTTTATGGTGGCTGAACTTTGAAGATAATTGTACTTTTCCCCTTTAAGCATACTAATAACTCATTGCTATGTCTGCTTAGGCTTGGTGGCAATCTATAGGGCAAAGTAGAAAGCCCCATCTTTTTCTCCCGCAGAGTGACTGGTGGTTTTGAACTGGTGGCCTTGCGGTTTACAGCCCACCTGTTAACTACTATGCCACCTGGGCTCCTGTCGTGCTGGAGCCCCTTTTCCAGGGACGAGTGCCTCCTGAAGGGATCCCTGGTGGTGTAGTGGGATGTGTGTTAGTCTGGGTAGACTAGAGAAACAGTCATAGACGCACTCATGTGTCATATGTGTATAGGAAAGAG